TGAGTGATCACCGAACACCGTACGACATATACCCGGCCAAGCACGTTTAATGCACTAAAATTTCTCCTCATCAGTTATCATCAAACGAAAATGCTCAGCCAAGCTGAACTTCTCACTTAAAGTTTCTTGAATCGTAAGAATTCAAAGCAAATGATCGATGCTCCCTTCACCAATTGTGACTAATTCCGTTGTTTGTTAGAATGCGAATTTGCTCCGTTCCACTCGAAAGCAAACGAATACAAACCCCAAAAGCAAACCCCAAAAACAAAACACCATTCGTCCGTTTCAAGCCCATCCATCAATCGAGAAGTGTTCTCTTGGGGTGGTCACAATGAATGAGTTTCAATAGACTCATTCGGCTCATTCGGTTTCACTCGATTCAATTTCCACTTGTGCAACAATTTATCCTAATATTCCCATTGGGAATACGAACAAACACGCTTTCTGCATTCAGCGAAATAACAAAAATGACGTTCTACATCTTTTTTTCAGATATGCAAGCTTTAAGCAACACTAAAAATCGATTCATTCCAAAGTGAATCTTAAATTATCCGCGTTCTTGCCATCGCACGCTTCAAGGTGCTTCTACAATTACCAATAGAGAACACAGTCAAATCGTGTCGTTCTTATATCCATCGTCGTTTAACTTTTTAACTAATTATCTTCATCACCTCGGATGCATACGAAAAGAAGACCGAAAAAGCACAAATAAAATGCTAGATATGCACACATAATAAATCACATAAAACCAACAAGATTGCCCTCTCCAGGTCCCTCCAACTCACGCCCTTGTGCATCTACAATAGTCGGCACAACACCGAAGAAAGGCAGAGTGGCGCTTCCTGGTTTGGTTGGTATTGCGCCAGGCAACGGCGCTATCACATGACCACCGGTCTCAGTTTGCCAGTACGTATCCACAACAACGCAGTGCTTGTCACCTGGCACCTGCAATCAAATATTACTAACTCTGCAAAGGAAAAATCTACCAAGCGCGATAAGTGATATCAAGCGCGATGAGTTACATTCCCATTCACATTTACTAGAACTTGAAAGTTCTCCTCTGAACACATCATTTGTGAACACATTCGAGAGGAGTGTCTTTGTGAAGCATATGAAGCAAACGCTGACATTTCT